TTTAGGGCTGTTGTACATAGGGTCGCTATGAGTTGCAAATGACTCGATGGCACATAACAACAACAAACAACAACTTAGGAGGCAAAGGCTTTAGGTAAGCAGGAAGACTCAAAATAAGAAAGTTTGAAGACTTTCAAACTTTCAGAATGTAATCAACATTCATGTAGAAACTATTAAATTAGTGTGTATTTTTGCATAATGTCAACATTAAAAATAAGTGAATGAGTAGTATGATGCACATGGAATCACCATAAGGAGAACAGACACTACAGCAAATGGTCAATTGCTATGACCCTAAATATAAGTAAATGCATTTTTAAAATGATGAATAATAGGAGAGTTTTGTGGTGATTTTTCTTGTTCTTGTTTTATCTCCTCATTGGGTCAAGGAAATGGCAGCCCACACTCCGACTATGGGGTTCTGATCTGTGGGTTACAGAGTAGACCTCTGCAATGAATTATCTCATATTTTTGTTCTAACCAGTCTAAAGACTACCTGTAATGTAAGGCACTTGTCTCTATTTAGCCACATGCAGGACTCACTGTAAGGAGTTATGTGGCAGACATAATGAATGGAAATCCAAAATCTCTGTGAATGTTCATTAAAGTTAATAAAATAAAATGAAAAAAAAAACCCCAAAACATTTAATTCTGCCCATCAACAAATGAATGGAGAAGCTGTGGTATATTCACTCAATGGAATACTACGCTGCATTGAAAAATAAGGAACTCATGCAGTATTATTAAAAATGGGTGACCCTGGAGGACATTATGCTGAGTGAAGTATCTTAGTCACAAAAGGACAAATACTTCATGGTGCCACTGTTGTAAAATAGGACTGGCATCGGGGTTAGGGGGAGACTGAGAAAGATGGGATAAATAATGTATACTGCATTGAAAGAGATGAGGGAGAAAAATGTTTAAAGGGATATGTGATCAGGTATTTTTGTCCTGACAGGAGTCCAGAACGAAGGCTGCATAGTGGAGCATAGGGGAAGGATTATAAAACAATGAAAGAATTTTTCTTTTACTTTTCAAAGAGAAGAGTGTACTGAGGGGGAGGGGTGGGAAGGAACAAAAGTGCAACAATGAATGAATGGAAATAAAAGATCCATTATAACTAACAATTACGGCCACCTAGAACAAAAGATTATAGGTGAAATATATAACTACCTAAACCTTGAAAGAATATTTGGGGAGAATTTCTTGAGAAATCAGGATATTCAAAAGCATCTGTCTATAAAGGGTAATATATATGCTCAGAAAAGATATGAAAAGATCCCACCACTTCTGGTGACTTTCTAGGCTAAATTCAAACTTTGCTAAGTATTGGAATATCCTAAAATAGAGTCAGTCTGCAATTAAACACAACAACAACAACAAACAGAGAGCGGTGTTGTTGTCTATGTGTACACTTCTTAAATTCCTGGAGTTCAAAGTAACCTTTGTAAAAAACATTAATTAAATATAAACTAAAGGAATGAAGAAATGGAACTTCAATGGCATATTCCCAAAACTCACTCCTATACATATAAGGAAAGAGTTTGGAAAAGTCACTAAACAAGGGAATGACTACAACTTTCAATGATCAGAAAAAGTGGGTGCAGGCAGCAACAGCAAACTTCATGAAAAGAGAGAATATGATTTTTATAGGAATCATATTATAATAATCAAATGTGGGGCTTGCAATAGAAATAAAAAGCAAGAGCAAGTATGACTTATTCAAAGGAACAAAAGAAACTGACATCTTCTCTGAGCAAGCCCAGGCACTGACTTTACTAAGCCTAGACTTTGAAACAACTGCCTTGCATAATCTCAAAAGGTTAATGGAAACTATGCATAAAGTACTAAGACAAATCAGTAAAACAATGCATGAACAAAATGAGAATGTCAATTAAGAGATAAAAATTATAAAACAAAAAATCTAGAGCTGAAACAGAAAAGAGAAACTCAACAGAAGAGTTTAGTGGCAGGTTCTTCAAGCAGAAGAAAGAATTGGCACACTTAAAGACATGAGGAGGGAGCTCTGGTGGCCTAGTGGCAAGAAGCTGTGCTGCAATCCCAAAGCACGTGGTTCAAATCCATCAGGTACTCTGCTGGAGAAGGAGGAGCAATCAGTCTCCTCCTGTGCCAGTCGGATCAGATTCGATGGTACACAAGAGAGAAAAATGAAAAAGGAAATATTAAAAAAAAAGACATGATGATAGAAATTATACAGTGTAAGGATAAAAAGAGTGGCTACAGTCTAGGACACCTGGGAGTTACAATAATACATGTAATACGATAATAATATGAATTAAAAAAATAATGTGAATTCCAATAGGAGGAAAGAGAGACTATTTGAAGAAATAATGGTCAAAAACATTCTCAAATTTGATCAAAAACATTTATTAAATATCCAAGAATCTCAATGAATCAAGTAAGAAAAGTTCAAAGACATTGACTCTGAGACATATTCTAATCAAAGTGCTAAAAGGCAAAAACAAAGAGAGAACTTTGAAAATAGAAACACATGATTTGTCATCATATATGAGGTATCTTTTTTTTTTCTATACTGGTTTATTTGGGAGCTTTGATGATGTAGTCTGTAGGGTGGTGTGCTAACCCAGACTACCATCTACAGTGTTTTGAATCTACCAGCTGCTCCAAGAGAGCAAGATAGGCAAATCTCCTGTGTGACTGACAGCCTTGGAAAACCAGCTGAAGCATCAGCTTTGACAGAGTTCTGACTCTAAAGCACTGAGTTAGGTTTTTAATAAAACTAGTGGATAGTTTCTCCATCAGAAAACCATATAGGCCAGAATACAATCAATGGTCCATTTAAAAATGACCAACCAAAAATTCTACATCCAGGATTGTTGTTGTTGTGTGCTGCTGAGTCAGAATCGACCCATAGCTGACCCTCTGGAGGGTTTTCAGAGACAGTTAAGCACACGGTAGGGGACTGTCCATCCTTCTCCCATGGAGCAACTGGTGGTCTTGAACTATATGCCTTCAGGATTGTAGCACAGCTTCTTGCCACTAGGCCACCAGAGTTCTGTCCTTCAAACATGAGGGTGAAATTAAGACACTTCTTAAACAAACATGAGCTTGGGGGGAGTTTACTTTCACGTGACTGAGACTACAAAGGATGCCAATGGGAGTACTGTAGGCTGAAAGGAAAGAGCAAAAAAATAATCGAAAGTGAAATGAAGAAATAAGAATCTCTGGCAAGAAAAACAAAATGGGCCAGTATAAAAGTCACTATTATTGTATTTTTGGTTTATAAGTCTATTATCTTCATGTTTTAATAAACAAACACATTAAAAAGTAATTATAAGTCTGTATTATTAGGCACACATTGCAGAAAGATAGAATTTGTGTTGAAAATAATAATATGATTTAAAAAATTTGGAAAACAGACAGTGGTAATGACGGCCCAATAATGTAAAATTCATTAATGCCACTGAATTGCTGAAAATTATTAAAATACCAAATTTTATATGTATTTACTACAACAAAAATAAATTAATACACACACTCCCCCTTACTGCCATCCGTACAAAATAAACCAACTATTGACAAAACAACAACAAAAACTAGAGTCCTGGATTAACAACTCTAGCAAGTTTTTTTCTAAGAAGAAAGGGTATTTTTTTAAAAACAAGGTAATTTTTGTTCCTAACAAAATAACTCAAAAATGGATTTTTTTTTCCTCCCTTAGTAGGTTACAACTTTCTGTAGGCTAAATTACAGTGCTTTTTAAAAAAATCAGCTACTATGCCTCCACTAATGTTCTATGAAATTTCCCTTGGAAGTCTAAGACCTCTCAGAGGAAGCTGCATCAGAGTACAGAATGTCAAGGCTCTGTCTCCTTTTGCTTTGACATGACCGGGCCTCCCACCATGATGAGCAGCGACAGGCTGGGTGCCACAGCCAAACTCTCTCTTCAAAGACCCTCATTATTTTTACCCCTCCAGGCAGGAAAACTGCATTGGCCTTACCGCAGATGTAAGACGAGCGAGAATTTCATCACTGGTTTCTTCGGCATCTTCAATTTTCTGATGAGACCTATAACAAAGAACTAATTACTCTTCAGCTTTAGTTACTTAAAGGTCTACTATATTATGGAGGATGCATAGCCAATAATGGCACAGTCAGTGCTGTGTTACAGAAAGTACCCACGTAAATTACAATGTGCAATAATCTAGAAGGCTATGATCGTGCTGCAGCCCAACTCTGTCCTGAAATCAATTAGCAATAACCTCTTTACAGCACACTAATTTCACCATGAATGTTGAGTATTGTTTTCTAAATGGTATAACAGCATTATCCTGGCACATCAGAAGGACAAACAGAAAACATCAGTAGACTTCACCAACACTGTAACCTTCACAGGAGGAAACTGTCTATTCTCTCCTGTAGAGGGGCTAAGAGGTTTGAACTGTCCAACCTTTCAGTTAGCAGCCCAACAAGACAGTGAGACAGTGAAATTCCCAGTTGATATGAAATGTGTATTTTTAAAATATGAAATATGTCTTTTTCCATCATTCTTTAGTTTCAGCCAAACACATTTAGTATGAGATAGCTTTTTAGAGACTAAATACTGTGATAGAAATTAGGGGGTTTACCAATGAGAAGCACTTGTCTCTTTTACAGACGACTTGAGAAATAAAAAAAATTTAAAAAAAGATGCATGTGCTAAATAACCAAGAAGAATATAACAGAAGATCAGGAAAATCACCCTTTGCATTCTATGAAAAATTCTCATTACATAAATGTATATACCAACATATAAAATTATTTGCTTCCTAAAACCAAGGTTATACATGGCCTTTCCTCCCTGGCTATGTAAAAAAACCAAAAAATCAACAACAACAACAAAAACCTACAGAAAAAAAAAACCACACAAAAAAGACTAATGCCAAATTGCAGGAGAAGGATGGATGATCTCCTCCCATGCAATTTACTGCTTCTGAAAACTTGCTGGGGGGGGCAAGTATGAGTCGGTTCTCACTCACCGTCTGGGAGCTCTGGTGGCTTAGTGGCAAGAAGCTAGGCTGCAATCCCAAAGGCATGCAATTCAAATCTACCAGCTGTTCTGTGGAAGAAGTATGGGCTATCTCCTTCAGTGCTATTTACTGTATGCGAAAACCCACTGGAGGGTCAGCTATGGCACACACAAAACAACAGTGCCAAATTAATGTATAAACTTATCTCCTAAATCTCTTTCCACAAGCAATCCCTTTCAACACATTCCAGGCATGGGGAGAGAGCAGTGACAATTGCCCTGGAGAGCAACATTATCAGAATCGTAGCCTCATGATTGATTTCCGTCACAGCTCACAATGTGGGCCAGCTGGAGAGCTAGTCTGCCAGTACAGCGGGGCTTCTCCAGGCTCACAAGGCAGCTAAATGAGAAGCCCAATAAGAAAAGGAAAGCTGGCTGGATCAATTCTTGTGCTGGCCTCTCATTTTTGTAAATGTTATCAAACTCTTGTTCGGGGGGGGGGGGAATCACACCCTTGAAATCAGAGAAATGAATTAGAAGCCACAGCCTTACAAGAATGAAATAATACAAGTAAGAAACAGTGCTATCATTTTCAAATAACTTTACATATGCAGCAATAGGATTTGAGGGGTTAGCTAACCATCTGCCTAACAAAACAAAAGAAATGGAAAATAATAATTTAGTATCTGACTATTACAAAAAAAGCACACTACCTGGATAATTGATATTTCAAACAAAGATCTTTATTATTAAAATTCTCTATTCACTAGGTTACTGTAATAAACAAAGTTACAGTGTGATGAGATTTACAACCCTCTGCCACCAGGTATTCCCAAACCACTAAATCAGGTTTAGATGGTTATGGTGAAAACTTCCAGGTACTCAACTCGAACGCAAAAAGCAGAGTATGTGAAACTGTAGTCAGAGGGGAAGCATGGGCTGGTTATGCCTTTTCATGTTCCACAGACCCTGAAAGACACCTGATGGATTAGTTAATAGTGTAAGGTATTCTGTCCGAGCACAAATTCTTTGCTGAGTCTGTTATGACGAACTGATGAAAAGAACTCAAGATTCCAAGAGAAATGCTTGTGTATGACTGCTCTGTGAGTAATGGCTGAATCGCTGCTCTTTTAGTGACAAATAACGTAGTCCCCATTCAGAAGCATGACTATCTTTCATCATTCTTCCAGCATAAAACGTGCTTTGACAAAAATGTCTCCAAAGGAAATGAAGGCAAGACGGCCAGTGATGATCTTTGCAGAGCGAAACATCCCACAGTCCACATCCTGCATATATCTATCACCCAGCTACCACAAGCCATGTCCAGAATTCCCACATGTCTCTCTGGTCTCTGAACACCTCCCCCCCACCCCCATATTTGCATTGTTCTTCCACCTGCTTTATGGAGACTGTAGAGGCCAATTCCCAGGAAATTTATTTTTCCTGTTTGTGTCATAATAAAATAAAAGTTACTGTCAACCCAGGCCCCATATGTGTCAGAGTGTAGAACTGTGCTCCGTAAGGTTTTCTTCAGTGGCTGAGTTTTCAGAAGTAGATCACCAAGACCTTTCACCCAAAGTGAATATTGGGAGACTAGAACGTTCACCCTTTCATTTGGTAGCCAAGTGTACACCACCCTGGACTGCAGGTATTCTATAGGTACCTCAAACTTCACCCACACGGAAGATGTCTGGGCTCTTGCCCTCACTATCTTTACTTCAAGGCTACTGTCCTGTTGGCCATTCACTCCTTCCTCAGTCACCATATTCTCTCAATTCCCTTCTTTGAGCTTAGGTTCTCACTCTGACAAGTCCTGCTGACAACCTAGGCCCTTAATTTCTCTTACACACACTATTTTAACCACCTTCTAACAGACTTCTTTGTCTTTACTTTCTTCTCTTCCACCCATCTCCTATGCTGTTGTATACTGTTGACTCAGAAAGGACCCACAGCTGACCCTCCAGCAGGTTTTCAGAGGCAGTAAATAGCACAGGAGGAAACTGCCCATCTTTCTCCCACAGAGCTGCTGGTGGATTAGAACTGTATACCTTTGTTGGTAGTACAACTCCTTACCACTAAGGTACTAGAGCCCCCTAGTCTCCTACAGACAAAGCAGTCAGATGAGGTTGTGCTACTCCCCAGCCTCAAAACCTCCAGGGATTATCCCTTACAGCCTAACGGATAAACAAATCCCTAACTATGACTCAAGACCCTTTGTGATCAGGCTCCATCCAGCCTTTCCAGGCTCATTTGCCAAAGGTACTTTCCTACTGCCTCCCCCACCCCTTGAGCTCTAATCAGCGGCCAAACCTTTCCAGTCCCTAACATCCCACTCCCCTAACCTCAGGGTGGAGCCACAAGGCACATAAGCAGCCACCAGCTCACAGCCATCTTTCATAAGAGATATAAAAGAATCCTTTATACCTTAATGCCTACCAGAAAACTTCTCTAAATGGAGAGCTTTAAAATTCACAGGCTTGTCCTTCCAAATGTACCCCACACTTCCGTGTACTAGCAGGTATCTGCCTCTCACCGTCTCTAAAAGCAGGTTATGGGGGCAGGACCAGTGGTAACAGGTAAACAGTGGGAAAGCTTGAAGAGCAGTCAGGAAGCGATGAGGACAACACTCGGCCACTTTCTCCCTCACCTCTGTGCCCTCTATCTTTAAAAGACAAACCTTAATATCTTTGATCTGTGGCCCCTCTTTATCTTAAACCTCCCCATCAGCTCTGTGCCAAAATACTCAGAAGTATCAGAACGCCTTTCCTTAGAAAGGGAGACCCTAGTGGTGTGTCCTGCAGCACGGTGCACTGCTAACCCAAAGCCTTCTCATGCTGGCAGTTCAAATCCACCAGTCTCTCCGAGACAGCACATAGGCAGGTGTTTTCTGTTGAGGTTTACCCTGGGGAACTCAATGGAGGGTTGCTATGTGTCACTGTCAACAGCCTTGAGTGAGTTCCTTCAGTAAATGTAGTTCTACAAAATGTAGACAAGCCCCAATTCTTTTACAAATGAGAATATATGTTAGTGTCACTCAAGGAAGGCAAGGTTCTTGCTTATCAAGTCAAAGCAGATTATAGTTGAGGGAGGAGAAAATAAAGAAAAGAATCAAAGGTCATCTACACATATTTCCCCATTATGATGATCTATACAAATCCCTCCATGGCCAAAGAACAAAACCTCTGCTTGAAATCATCATGTGAGGGCAGTAACAAGTGACACAGGTAGAAAGGAAGTGGCTCCAGGAAGGAAGACCAATCCCTGAGGGTTTGTGCCAGCAGGAAGCACCAGCATAACGAGTGCTGACCTATAGGATTTCCTCCGGCCACTTTTCAAGGTCTCTGCTTACAACAGCCCAAGCCAGACCCAGAAATTCAGGGGGAAGTACTGAGTCCTGGTGCTGAGGTCTGACGTTGTTCTAATATCTGAGGATGCCACTCAGAGAAGCTGGAATGGTAAAAATATAAGGTCCTTTGATCTCAGTCCTCTACCCATCAAACGGAATAGATTATCATTATGCCAGCTTTCAATCCCAAACAAAGCATCCTATCCTGGGCACAGCAGTCTTCTGTACTCGGATCAAAAGAAACTATAAATCTTTCAGGTGGAAATCATCTTTGACTCTTCCTTCTCTTACAGGCCACATTTGATTCATCCTAAATCTTACTGGCTCTGCCTCTATAATGTACCCTGTGTTTGTCTACTTGCCATCATCTCTTCATCTGCCACTGTGGTCCCTGCCACAGCAGCCACCTGAATCTAGCAGCCAGTATAACCTCATTCATCAGAGGATTTTCAATTATTTCAGAAGTAGATACCCAGACCTGTTTTCTACTTCATCTTAGTCAGGATACTCCACTGAAAGTTACTCCATCATGGGTAACTCTGCTGGCATTTGAAACACTAGCAGCATAACTTCCTGCATCCCAGCAATACACAAGCCACTACAGTATAGCAAACGAATGGACAAGTAGTGGTCCAATCAAAAGCAGAAATTAATATAAGCATTAATATCACACACAAGTAAAGCTTGCTGAAGAGAACTTAAAAACCTCCTCCC